AAAAAAAAACAGAGTAAGAAAGGGAAAAGAAAAGAAAAAAAGCAAGAAACTATGACTCTGATACTTTCAAAGAAAGTCCTGTATAATTCTTAAAAGAAAAAGGCAAAAAATCTTAACGAGAGAGTCTTGTATAATTTTTCTTTAATTTAACATGAGAAATTTAATAAATATCAAGGATTGTTGAAAAAATAAATTTAAAAATCAATTTCATGATTCTATAAGAAAAAAATCAAATTTAATAGGTGAACGAATGCAAAAAAATAAAGTAAAAGATCATTTTGCCGTTGTGAAGGAAAACAAATGTAAAGACAGATAAATCTTGAAAAAATTATGATTATATTATTTAGAAGAGAAAAAGTTGACATAAATTGTTGACATGTAACTTACACGTCACAACGTGTTTTGTTTAATAAATAATTTTAAAACTATCACATTTTGAGGGGAAAAAAGTCTTTGTATGAAAGAAAAAAATATCTCAGATTCTTGTACGTGATATGAGTTACGACTTGAATTATGAAATTACAAGTTAAACAAAAAACAAAAAAAAAAGAGTTTAGTAGTCTTCATTTAATATATATATATATATATATATATATATATATACATCACTTAACCTATAATCTAGCAAGTTAAAAGTAATCAACACGTAAATATAGCAAGTTATATTATTAATTTCAACTTAAATATGTAAGAACGTACACAAGAAATTACTTAATTAAGAAGGCTTTGTTTTATTTTTCGGTAATCATAATTCACAATTTGCCAGATATGTATATATGTATGTGTGGGTGTTTATATCACTAATTGTATGTTTTATTGGTAAGGAATAATCAATTAAGAAACCAAAGCATCTTTGGTAGGCTATAGCACAATCTAGGGGGAGGAAAGGAAGGTCAAAGAAGGATTAAGAGGAAGAAGGTTGAAACGGTTTGAAATTGAAAACATAAGGCATATTCGGTTGAGTCAGTGGTTCTCCCCTTTCATTCCATCTTCAAACGTTCATCTCCGATCAGGTAATCCTCTAACCTATTCTGATATTTTTTTGTGCGAGGCATGCTTTATTTGTTTTTATTAAGACACTGAGCAAGTGATCGTGACTTTGTCACTGTCACTCCATGGAGTTCCTAAATCATAGGTGCTTTCGTGTTCTTTGGTATGGAAACAACGATGATAACACCTAGATTGTGAAAACGTGTTTCGGGGAGGATAGTTGAGAGATTATGGATAAAGGTGGTGGGAAGGGTTAATACGCTGTTTCGAGAAGGCAGATGAAACAGAGGCAGGAGGCATGTTTGATCTAAAAATAAAAAGAAAAATATTTGGGTTGTGTTTGTGGCTTTTGGTCTAGTCAGCTATATATATATAAAAAAGGGGCGCAGGTTGAGCTAAGCCCAATCCACGTGGAACTAGAGTTTGGGCTGGTTTTAGTCTAGTACAGACCCAGCCTGAACAAAAAAAGAAAAAGAAAAAAAATAAAAACAAATGTACACAATAGAAACTGGAATTACTCCAGTTGAGATGGAAAGAGCAAGAAGAAGGAGGTAAACAAAAAAAAAAAGAGAAAAGAAAGATGGGCAGAAGGGAAAATGGGCCTGGCCCGATAGGCAAGGGCCTAATAAGATTTTTTTTTAATGATTTGATTTTCTTTTTATAGATAATTTAAATATGAATATTTTTGTTTATCAATGTTTTTTTTTTATTTCTTGCAGTAATTTAGATTTAAATTTTTTAGATGCCTAAAAACTTATCTAGTTAACTCTAAATTTTAGAATTTATTATAACATTTATGTTAGGTAATTAATTGATAAATAAATTGTCGAGTTAATTTTTAGAAACTAATGATGATTCTCTATCGGAAAAAAATAAAATAAAAATAAAAATGATAAACAAAAAGGAGGGCATATTAGTTAATTTTAATTTTAGAATTTTGTTTCAATAATTAGATTAGTAATTAATAGGTGAAAGAATTGTCGTGTTTCTTAATTCTTAGAGATTGATGACGATTCCCCATCGATAAAAAAAAATCTTAATGAAGTTTTCTATCTAATAGGGACTATCGTTAACAACAAAAACAAAATAAATAAATAAAAAATAAAGTTTTTAACAAATTCTCATATTTAAAAGGGATTGTTATTAGCCAAGAAAATCACTATTTTAGTAATCAAGATGTCCTCCGACATAGCAGTTGTGTCGAGACTTAAAGTGAATCCGATTTTTGAATCAACGTGTCTCTCGACGAAAAAGTCGGATGATTGGTTCAATACGAAGCCATGATAAAAAATAAAAAACTTAATTTGACTTAAAAAGTTAGAGTTTAAATCGGAAAGAATTTAGCGCGAAATAAAACACCTTAAGGGATGAATTTTAGTACTAAGTTAGACGTGGTACATTTATTAGAAAAGGACGCTTTTAAGTGATTGATATCCTAAAAAAAAAATTAATTAACTCCTTACTCTTTAATCTCTAGATCGGTGCTATATTAGGTTTTTAGTTCCTTCAATATTAGTTGACGACTCGAACTTAATAATAACTCGCATTCCCAAAACAAATCATCAATAAGATAAACAATTCTTTTGGGGAGTCCCATCCAATGTTGGAGAGTGACGGAATGACAACTTCACTTGAGATTTAGAGTTAGGTCATAAGTTTAGTCTTTGTAAATTCATTTCCTTTATTTATTTTTTCTATTTTATTTTCTATTTCTTTTATTTTTAAAGTCATCATTTTTTATTTTTCTCATATTATTTTGTGTTTTTAAAATTTTGCAATTTTTTTTTCAATTTACGTACATATTTTATTGAACTGCGTTAGATGCTTATCTTGAACTCGTTGCATACACCACGAAGGAAACCTACAAAAGCTTTATTATGATTTAGATAAAGAGATCCGAAGACAAGTATGATGAAAGTCTCGTCGATACTCTTTTGAACTCTTGTTTGACTCGAAACTCTCTCTATGTATAAGAAAATGTGGAATAACCTTTTCCAACCTCCTTGTGCAGAAGGCCGGAGAGTGAATTATCCCATTGGTATTTTAGACAATTCAAAAATTTAAAAGAACTTCGAATTAGGCGAGCTTTACCTAAATCATAGCTAGATCATGTCCAAACCAACACGAGACAGAATATGGCTTGCTTAAGTGTAGCAAATAAATATACAACCATCAATATCAATAATTTTGGAAATAATTTTCCAGGGTATATATAGTTTGATTTTGTCGTCGGGAATCTAGCCAATCTCAAAAATAAAATCTTATATTAATTCAAAAAACTGAAAAATAGGGTATATATATATATATATATATTGTAAACAAAGATGGTGTTGAACATTCATTATCATAAAAAGAAGTATTTGTCATATTTATAATCTAATGTATGTGAACGTATATAGATGGCATTTATTAATGAACATTAAAAATGGCATTTGATTTTTCTTGATTTTAAGAATATAAATTCCACGTCAGAATTAATGCACCTCTTAATTATAAATACCAAAAAAGAAAACATAAAACAAACAAAATAAAAGAAGTAATAGAAGATAGAGGTATAGGTAATTTAGAAGATTTATGGGTTATATTTCTTTCTGAAAAAAACCGATTACATATATTTTTCTAATTTCAAATATGTAAGATAAAAGAGAAATAAAGTGTGTGTATGTGTTTTGGTAACCATCATACATAATAACTTAAAAATATTTAGTCATTATCAATAAAAAATTACAAAAACGTTCTGGTTCCCATCATATAGAAGAAAAAAACTATTTTTTGGTAACGTATTCATCATAAAAACAATAGAAAAAGTTTAAAATGTAATTATTTTTGGGGACCATAACATATAATATATAAGAAGAAGAAATAATTTTTTTTTCGATAACATATATGCCATAACAATTATAGAAAAATTCAACTAGAAATGTATGTTGGGGGACCATCACATATGATAGGTGAAATAACTATTTTTTTTTTAACCTATATATATATATTTCATAACAACAATAAAATAAAAAAAATCAAATTTTGGGGGACCATAAATACCTCCATTCATAAGCAAGGGGACGGTTCCTATTTGTCATTCTCAAACGCAAAACAACAAATTAGATGATGCCTTTTCCTTCTAATAATTGTTGGAATCTGTAGACCTGCTTTGAGCATCGACAAAATTGAGTCTTAGCTCATCTAATGGTCCTGAAACAATTTATATATTTATAATTTGAACAGTCAAAGCATCTAACAAATTGATTGGGTATTTTTTTGATTGAGAATTATAATATTACTAACTTAGTTAAGAGGTTGGACTATTCATTAAGAAAGTTTACCCCTTTTGTTTTGTTTTTTTAATTTTTCGAGTTCAAACTTTTACATTAGCATCTAGAAGAATTTATGAAAAATGCATTTTTAAAATTATTTTCGTAAACTCAAGAATACTTCTTACCTTGATAATAATAATAATAATAATAACAACTTGTGTCTCAACGAAGGAAGGAGAAAAAATGAAATATTGTAGATCGTGCCAATCTTACTACTCAAATCTGTCTCGTATAGGCATGCAAAATAATCGGTTTAGCATCGATATCGAAAACCTAAACCCTATTGTGTTATCATATAATTATTTAAAATTTTATTCAAAAATTCTTGTATTAATTTACTAAACAAGCATATGAATGCGTTCGCCTCCTTGTCTCTTGCTCTTAAAAAAAGTTCACAAGAGTCACTGCCAGACAAGAGAAAGTATATGTACCTAAAGTTTCTTAAAATAAACTAGATTTTTCTTAAAAGAAAGAAAATAGAAACGTATTCAAAAAATTTATTCAATATAGCCATCTGTCGATCGTCCATTTTTTTTTCTCTTATTCAAAGGTGAAAAGAGATGGAGCAAAATTTATTTTATAATTTTGCTGATTGTGTTATGATTACCAATGGTGTATATAATGAATCATATTGTGCTTAAAGGTTGTTAGAGTAAGATAAACCGTTGCAAAGAGACAGAAAAACATCTCTGAGCGATGGCAGGAGCTGTGCAGAGTGGCAATATATCTAAGGCAAATCCAATGAATGGTGGGCATGGCCTTTACAGCTATACCAAGAACTCTACCTACCAGGTATTATAAACTTATTTTGCAGCTAATAATATGTATTACTACTTGTTTATAATTCAACGGGGATCATATCTCCCAAGGCAGAACATAGCATATTTTGATATTAAAAAGGAAAAAAAGTTAATCCAGCAGAATCTTCTTCCTCTACGTGCCTTATTTATCTAACATGCTGTTCTAACATGTGCTTACATGTTCGACTCACGCTTTTGGTTTGAGTATTCAAATTGTAATATTGCCTGATCATGCTGAAGATATTTGTTCCTGATTATACTTTGGTGGTCTTAATTGTGAGATAGGATGAGTTAAGTGTTCTATAAGCACAACTCTTGAATCCGATTATTACCAAGCAAACAATCTTTTGAGGATTGTTATTGAACCACAATTCCTTGTTAAAACAAGGCAAAGAAGGGCGTACGTGCGGCATAATACCTTCGATCTTGTTTGAAAAACCTTTAAGATGACAAAGGGAGAAGAGTACTAAGAAATATTTGAAATTGATGGATATTGGAAAGGAAATATATACCTTCAATTTTCCTCCAAAGAGAGTTTTTTTTTTTTTAAAAAAAACCTAATTAGGGAGCTCTTAATTTGTAAAGTGTATTCGGAAATTTGAGAGGATAGGTGAAGGCCAATTAAAGATTATATAGAGGGAGGAGAAGGGTGGGAATTTTCTCTAGTTATTTAAATTTTTGAACATGATAGGAGATTACATAAATTATTTTTTTTATATCATATAGATGTTAAATAATAATATTAAATTATTTTTAAAATTTTACCTAATAGTTTAATGAAATAGTGATTTTATATAGTATCGGAACTTTAATAAGCAAACGGTTACGAATTTGAATCTTACCACCAATACATAATTAAGCACGAGATAATAGCAAACCTCTTTCTACTTCAAGAGGTGTGCTAGAGAGTATCTTTTAATTGAAGTGTTTTTACTTGAAAAGATGTCTTGAAGAGTTGTTTTTTTTTTTTTTGTTAACTTAAAAGATATGTGTTAGAAAGTCTTTTAGAAATTCAAGATGTGTGTTAAAGTGTTTTATTTTTACTTGAAGGGATATGTTAAAAGAGACTTTTTGAAACTCAAGAAGTGTGTTAGAGAGTCTCTTTTACTTGGCCAAGGTGTTAAACAATCTTTTTTACTTGACAAGTTTTAGATTTTTTTTTATCCTTAAAGGGTTTTAGTTAAATAAGTAAACACAAGACAATAGTGACCTTTTTTTTTTTTTTTTTTTCAATTGATGAGATGTGTTACTTAAAAGGATGTGTTAGAGAGTCTCTCTTACTTTTTGACGGATGAGGCTTAATTTCTCAAATATATATATTAATCATTTATTATTTATTTATTTGATGTAATATAAGTTTTTTTTTTAACAAATTTAAATAAAATCAGGACAAAATTGAGTTCTTAAAAATATAAACATATTTTCACATTTTCTCTAAAATATATCAAGGTTTAAACCCCAAACACAGAATGGTTTTGAACGTTTTGTGGATCAAATATTCCATCCTAACAAAGAAAATATAAAAAACCATGCAAGACCTTGCAAAAACGTACTACCTACTGGAATATGTTATTGGACATTAATTTGATGTTAAGAAAATTATCAGTAAAAATTTATGCTAATTCAATTTCATTCATAACAAGTTTTCATTTACAGGGAAAAGTTATAGTTGCAGTCAAAGATCTCATCATGGAGGCAATTTCTGAAAAGCTCAACAGTTGTATCATATCATCATCAAATACCATTTGCGTCGCAGATATGGGCTGTTCTGTTGGACCTAACACATTTATTGCAGTTCAAAATATAGTTGAAGCCGTGCAGAAAAAGTATCAAAGCCAAGGACAGGGTCATTCTGGATTGCCTGAGTTCCAAGTTTTCCTGAACGATCACTCTGTGAATGATTTCAACACGCTCTTCAGATCCCTTCCTCCCAACAGGAACTACTACGTTGCTGGCATGCCGGGTTCATTTCATGGTCGCTTATTTCCCAGTAACTTTCTTCACATTGTCCACACTTCCTATGCCCTCCAATGGCTGTCTCAAGTGCCAATGGAGGTTGAGGATACAAGCTCTCCCGCTTGGAATAAAGGAAGGATATATTATTCGAGTGCAGGAGACCAGATTGCTAAGGCTTATGCTGATCAGTTTAGTAAGGACATGGATTGCTTCTTGCATGCCAGGGCAAAAGAGGTTGTCTGTGGAGGGTTGATAATGCTCACTGTTCCAGGCCGCTTGGATGGAAGTCCTCATACTCGAGTATTTTCCAACGTTTGTTATGACATCTTGGGATCTTGCCTTATGGACATGGCTAAGATGGTTAGGATCGAATCTCAACCACCATGACCTTTTTTTTTTTCATTAGCACTTAGGACATTGGAATTGCTTAATTATTTTTTCTTTCCTTCTTCATATATTCTGTAGATTTCTCTAGACTTTTATTTTTTTTAACTGATGAATATTCTGAGGCAGGGAATCACAAGTGAAGAGAAAGTAGATTCCTTCAACATACCTGTATATTTCTCCTCGCCACAAGAACTGGAGGCAACCGTAGAACGAAATGGGTGTTTCAGCCTAGAGAAGCTACACTGCCTGCCCCTCGAGAAGACTCAGACAAGTATTCCAGAGAAAGCAAGAGCCATATCATATCACATCAGAGCTGGTTTGGAGTTCCTTTTGAAGGAGCACTTTGGACATGAGATCCTGGATGAGCTTTTTGACTCATTCAATAGAAAGCTAGAAAAATCTGAAGTCTTTCAGTACGGGCGAGCATATAGCTTGTTTGCGTTGCTTAAACGTAAGCCAACGTGATCGAAAGATGCAATTTGTGTTCTTTTCCTTGTGTTTCTTTATGGTTTGACTTGTTAAGTTCTTGCTTATATATCTTGATCGAGGGTGGCAGTTCTTGTATATTTTATTCAGCACATGAATTAATGTGTCTTGTACTAAGGTTTGATATGCTTTGAGGTTGGTTTGTATCTGCAACCAAAAATTGTTGTTTCAATTTTCTCTATATTTTTGTTTTTTACAAAGGAGATGTTCTTGCATGATTTCCTTGTCATTTGTATTTCAATTTTTTTTTCATTATATTATTGTTTTTTCAAATCTAACTCATGTGAGATAGTATCACTCCTCTATCTATCTAAGTTTCCGTTTATAATTAAAAGATTTCACCCAATTTTTACATGCTTATTAAGTTTTTTCATTAATTCAAACCCCAAAATAATCTCTAATACACCATAAAAAGTAATTTCAGCATCAAATAACAATAATTTGATAAACTTAACTAGCTTGTATAGAGGATATTGGAGAGAAATTACTTATTATTCATGCCAAAATCTTTCCTTGGGTTAGACCAGGTGTTTTTTCATGTCTTGGTTGGAAATACTTAAAAATCAAATGCAAATTATACAAAATTTGCTAACTTCGATAAACAGGAGATGATAAAAGGGTGATATTGTTTAATATCAATTATGCATGGATCAAAATTAATAAAATTAAAAGATTTGAAACTCTATTGATAATTAAAAAATATGTTAAAGAGGCTAATTTGAAATTTCCTCATTGAAGTAGCTTAATCTTTATGACTAATCTCCTAGCAATAATTTAATTGACACAATCGAGAATAATCATTTACCAACGCAAGCTACAGTTGCAGAAATGCTGTCCCACTCATATGATACACCAAATCAAATCAAGTGTTATTGAAAAAAATTAAAATCTAGTACGTACATATAATTTTTATATTTTGGTAAATCTATTGCTGTCATCACGAATCTCATTGGCTAGAACATATAAAGGGAAACAAACAAAAGGTATTTGGCAGCCAGAAAAGCAAACAAATGAAAATAAGACGTCAACAAACTGCAAAGTAAATAATTGTGAGGTTAACATTTACATCAGAATCATGAGATCATTTGGATATATATAACTTTTTTCTCTTTAATTTAATTTTTTCTATTTTATATGTAAGCAAATTGTATATGCAGATGGATCGCCTAATTTGTGTTTTTAATTATTAAATTGTTCCCGGGTTCAGCTTGGCAGTTGGAAAAATTGGATAATTATTTCCATTTTGTTTATTTATTTATTTAATGTTTTTGGAAGAATCTACTTGAGACTTTTTCGACAGAATGGGTCATGGTTTGTCCAAGACTACCAAATTTATTTGTTAGTTAGTTTGTTTTCTTTCCAAGAGAAAAATTCTGTATCAACTATCACCTGCATGCATGTTTGTGCCCTCGAGACAGTAAAATTTGGAATTTTTATTTTCCAAGAAAATATTTATATAAAAAATTATTTGGTGAAAATATTGAGACTGTATATATAGTTGAGTGGTATTTTTGAAGTTTGTCCTAGATAACAGCATTTCATTGAATGAAAAGAAAAAGGGTTAATACTTTTGTTATTTTTATTTTAATATCATCCATGCACATTATTTTTTCATCATCATTACACCTTTCTGTCAGTTTGCATCATCATTACACCTTTTTCATCATCATTATTTTTTCTCTAATTTACATTTTTGAAAGAAGGAAAGGAAAGAAAGAAAAAAAAAAAAGAGTACGAAAGGGCTTGCTATGATTGTCAAAATCTCTCGAGGTTATAGCACAATCTAGGGGTAGGAAAGAAAGATCAAAGGAGGATTAAGAGGAAGAAGGCTGAAATGGTTTGAAATTGAAAATATATTCGGTTGAGTCAGGGGTTCTCCCATTTCATTCCATCTTCAAACTTTCATCTCTAATCAGTTAATCCTCTAACCTATTCTGATATTATTTTGTGTGAGGCATGCTTTATTTGTTTTTCCTAAGACAATGAGCACGTGACAGTGACTGACTTTTGTCACTGTCACTTTATGGAGTTCCTAAATCATGGGTGCTTCGTGTTCTTTGGTCTGGAAACAACGATGATAATACCTAGATTCTGAAAAGGGGTTTCGAGGAGGATAGTTGAGAGATTATGGATAAAGGTGGTGGAAAGGGTTAATACACTGCTTCAAAAAGGCAGATGAGCGCGAGAGAGAGAGAGACGTGAGGCATGTTTGATCTAAAAATAAAAAGAAAAATATTTGGGTTATGTTTGTGGCGTTAGGCTTAGTCCACTATTAAGAAAAAGGGGCGTGGGTTGAGTTAAGCCCAATCGACATGGAACAAGTGGTTGGGCTGGTTTTAGTCCAGCCCAGACCCAGCCTAAAAAAAAAAAAAAAACACAACGGAGCAAACAGAAGCTGGTTTCGGTCCAGCTTCTTCTTCTTCTTTTTCTTCTCTATATATATATATATATATATAAAACTGGAATTAGTCTAGTTGAGAAGGAAAGGGAAAGAAAGAAAGAAAAAAAAAAAGAAAGAGAAAAGAAAGATGGGTAGAAAGGCCAATGGAGCCCCCTTTTTTTTTTTTTTTTTTTATGATTTGATTTTTTTTATAGATAATTTAAATATGAATATTTTTGTTTATCAATGTATTTTTTTATTTCTCACATTAATTTAGATTTAAATTTTGTAGATGCCTCGAAAATTATCTAGTTAACTCTAAATTTTAGAATTTATTCTAACATTTAGTTTAGGTAATTAATTGATAAATAAACTATCAAGTCTCCTAATTTTTAGGGACCGGTGATGATTCTCTATCGAGGAAAAAAACAACAAAAAATTAAAAATGATAAACAAAAAAGAAGGTGTATTAGTTAATTTTAATGTTAAAATTTTGGTTTAATAATTAGATTAGTAATTAATAGGTGGATGAATTATTAAGTCTCTTAATTCTTAAGAACTGATGACAATTCCCAACCGACAAAAAATAAAAAAATAAAAAATTCTTAATGAAGTCTCCTATCCGATAGGGACTCGTCGTTAACAATCAAAACAAAATAAATAAATAAAAATTAAAGATTTTAACAAAGTCTTTCATCCGAAAGGAATTGTTATTAGCAAAAAAAATTATCATTTTAATAATCAAGACGCTTTTCGACATATCGATTGTGTCGAGACCTAAAGTGGATCCGATATTTAAACTAATATGTCTCCTAATGAAGGGGATTCGATGATTGGTTTAATATGATGCTATGATAAAAAATAATTTAAAAAATTAATTTGGCTTAGAAAATTAGATTTTAAATCGAAAATAATTTGGCATGAATAAAACACCTTAAGGGATGAATTTTAGTACTAAGCTAAATGTGGCACCTTTCTTAGGAAAGGACGCTTTTGGGTGATTGATGTCTTCAAAAACATAACCAACTCATTATCTTGTAATCTTTAGATCGGATTTATTTTTAGGTTCCTAGTTCCTTCAATATAAGGTAGCGATTCCGAACTCAATACTAACTCGCATCTCTAGAATAAATAATAAATACGATAAATAATTCTTTTTTGGAAGTCCCGTCGATGTTGGATAGTGATAGAATGACTACTTCACTAGGGATTTAGAGTTAGACCATAAGTTTAGTCTTTGTAAATTAATTTATTTTATTTATTTTTTCCATTTTATTTTCTATTTCTTTTATTTTTAAAGTCATTCATTTTTTTTTATTTTTCTCATATTATTTTGTGTCTTTAAATTTTTATAATTTATTTTATTTCAATAGCTGTACATATTTAATTGAATTGGGTTGGATGCTTATCTTGAACTCGTTGCACACTCCACTAAATAAACTCGCAAAAGCTTTAAACTCGAGTTGCAACCTTATTATGATTTAGATAGAGAGATCTTAAGGCAAGTATGAAGAAAGTCTACGATGTTCCGTCGAACTCTCGTTTGGACTAGAACTCACTCTATGTATAAGAAAAGTTATAATAACCTTCCCCTACCTCCTCATGCATAAGGCTAGAGGGTGAATTATTCAACTGGTAATTTAGATAGTTCAAAACTTGAAAGGACTTCAAGACTAGACGAGCTTTACCTAAACCATAGAAGAGCTAGATCATGTCCATTAGGATCGACCTTTTAAGACATGAATCATTTTCATATGATGTCCGTTCTAACCCTCATCTTTTGCGGGTTATCAAACAAAGAAAGTTATCCAACCCAATTCAAATCACACATGTACATATTATATTTCTTATGTATATTTTTTGTTATAATATTTTTTTAGGAAGTGAAATATAGGTTGTTATGTCAAAGCTCAACTCTTTTTTTACATCCATCATACCCAATTTAGGACTCGTTAAATGAAAAATGAGAAAAAGCATGATTAGAACGGACTCACCAACAAGAGCTTGCTCCTTTAAAAGAGGATGTTGTTTGATCGACTAGTTTGTTGTTAAAGTTTATGAGTGAAGACGAGTAGTTTGAATGAGGGGTAAGCCCAACATGAGTTGTCGTATGCTCTCCTATTGGCCAATTTATAGCCTAGGCCATCTACCATATCAACCACTAACCAAGGGGTAACAACATTCCATGTCGAGACCTCTTATCCTATTAAGGCATTTACTAATGCAACGAACCCATAAGTTTCACATGTGCAAGGTATGCCCACTATAGACCTCATTGGTGAAAAAGCTTATAAATATAAGGTAATAGAGGATCTAAATATAGATAAATTGTTTGCCATTGAAGAATTCCCGAGGGCTATAGAAGGGGCTAATGTCTATTATCCTATAACAATTGCTAAGATGTGGTTGGTACCTAACGTGGTGATTTCAAAAAAGTTTAAGGCAATAGAATTCATTAAGTATACTGGTAATCGGTGTCCCATGACCCATCCGAGGGTTTATTGTAATAAGATGATTGAAGTAATACATGACCAAAAGCTACCGATACACTTCTTTTATGAGAGTCTAGGAGAATCTCCTTTGAGTGGTACATGAGGCT